ATGTAAGAAGTTCAGTTTCCTTAAAAGGGATATGCCCCGCTACTATCATTTCCCTTTTTACCTAATATTAATGAGCAGAGAGAAAGGAGATTGGAATTTTGACTTATTACCACTTCGGTGTCCCATCTGACAAGCAGAAAAATAAAGAGGTGATGTTTTCGTTTATGGCGCCCACCAACCCACTGGAGTTTGAGACGCTCTCCTCGTCCTCCTCCTCGTCCTTCTTGTTCTTCTTCCCCTTATCGTCGTCATCTTCCTTCTCGTCCTTCTACCTGTCCACTTCGTCCCTCCTGGACACGAGCCTCCCCCTATCCCTCCTCTCCCCTCCTCCTCCTCCTCCTCCTCCTCCTCCTCCTTCTCTTCATTCATTTATTATTCTGTTATCACATGCTGCTCACCGGAATAAGTTGAGTTTTTTGCTGACGTTTTGGACAGCTGGGCCGACTGAACTTTGTCGAAGCGTAAACTGACTTTATCGATCAGCAATTTGAAGTTGTGGCTGTACGTGTTGGTCATGGGCTGATCGATTTTTCTTCGTTTGCCGCGTGGTCCCTCTGTAGATTTTGGCATAGATTGACGGCAGTTAGTGTTGCGTTTCGTCCCCACGGTAGAGGATGCTAGTAATCCAGTTGCCTCTTCCGGTGGTTTAATCACAGCGCCGTCTTCCTTTGCAAATCCTAAGTTTGGTTTGGCCTTTTCCTGGCCTTTACTCACGTAATGGCATAGGACTTTGTTGGCTGCGGTAAAGCTCAGATGCCTGCTGACGGATTTGGCGTCTGAGTACCAGGCTTAAGCGTCAGTCTTTCCGCTTTTAAGGTTCCTCGGCCTACCAGGGTCGCTCCTTGAATATCAAAGTTGTAGCCAGTCTCTCCGACATGCGTTGCAAGCTGCGAGTCCGGATCTGGTCTCCGGACCGCCACTTTTTATTCGTATAGGCGTGCCTGAAATTTGCGCCCCATTTCTCCAACGTAATTGCAGTCTGCATCGTTACAATGTATTTTTTAGA